TTGAAGAGTTGATAGTTTCCTCGCCTTCGTTTTTGTCGCTTGTTTCGCTATTTGAATCAGTTAGAGACCTTTAGTCCATTTGCTTTCGATTTTCCACATTCCTTTTGAGCTCCTCACTTCTTTCCGGCTTCGCATTTCTTAGCCTTAGACCTCATAATGAATAAGGTTGATGCACTACTTCGCACTCCGTTTTCGCAGCTGCCGCTGGAACAAAAATTAGTGGTACAACGTCTTGGGCCTTATCAACCAAAAAATTGTTCACTGGAACAATCCCATGACGGAGGAAAGCGTCGGCGTACATTCTGCGCAGAAACTTGGTATAAAAAACACGAATGGTTGTGTTACAGCGAGGACAAAAATGCACTTTTTTGTTTTTATTGCCTACTTTTTTGCTACCGCCCGTGACTCACGTTGGTGTAAATTTGGTTTTAGAGATCTTAAACATCTTTCCGAGCGTGCCAGGGATCATCAATCTTCTATGGAGCATCTGGACAATGCAGTAAAATACCGAACATTCGGAAATGTTAATATTGCAGCACAGTTGGATGAAGGACGCGCGGTTTCTATTCGTGGGCACAACCAAAACGTCGAGAAAAACCGCCATGTTCTCGGTCGATTGATAGATGTTTTGAAGTTCATTGGTTTGTCATGAGCTGTCCCTCCGTGGGCACGATGAACGGGCTGGCTCTTCTAATAGAGGGGTATTTTTTGGATATGGTGGAATACACCGCATCCCTAGATACAGTATTGAGAGATCATCTTGATGCCGCAAACTGTTTCGAAAGGGACATCTAAGGATATCCAAAATGATTTGCTCGACTCAATGTATAAATTTATTTACAACATTTGGCTCTGGAAATTGAGAATTGCCCGTTCCTTTCGATTCAGTCTGACGAGACAACTGACATCACGTGCGTTTCCCAACTGTCTGTGATTTTTCGGTTTGTGAAAGATGGTAAACCTACCGAGAGATTTCACAGCTTTGTACCAATCGTTGATCGCACTGCTTGCGGGATATCGGCTGTACTGAAAGAAGTGTTACAGCCTTACAACGCGAAGTCAAAATTGATAGCTCAAACTTATGACGGCGCGGCAGTCATAGTGGGTCGAAACATGGTGTTCAAGTTTATATAAAAGAAGATTTTCCTCATGCGCATTTTTTACATTGTTATGCACACCAATTTAACCTCGTTATTAAAAATATGTGTCTTGATACCCCTCTCGTCCGTATATTTTTTGCAAATGTTTCGGGGTTTTCTTCATTTTTTTCCGTTTCGCCGAAGCGCTCTGACCTCCTTCGCCAGATATGTAGCCGCCGTCTCCCAGCTTGTGCACCGACACGTTGGAACTTCCAATCACGCGTGGTGCAGGGCGTGTCCGAAATTAGGTCTGATCTCATTGAGTGTTTCAATGGCATTCAGAGCTCTCCGGTTTGGGACGAACGCTCTGTGAGGGAGGCGGCAGGTCTAAAGCGTCTGCTAGAAGATGGTGAGTTTTCATTTTTTCTCGCTTTTTTCTCCACAATATTCTATCACATGGATGTATTATACGGCGCATTGCAGTCAAGGCTAATGGATGGAGCGTCTGTGCAGTCGTGTATTTCAGACTTCTGCGATGCTGTATCTCGTATCCGGGAAACAATAAAATACGACGACACATGGAGTGCTTCTTTACGCCGCGGGCAAACAACGCAGCGTTTGATTTCGTCTGCAAAGGAATGCCTTGACATTCTGTTGAATCAAATAGGCGATCGTCTGCGCACTGAACATCTCGCCGCGTTCTCTTTGATGAACCCCAAAAATTTTTCAAAATTTGCACGTTAATTTCCCATCCATTTGTTGGCTACTGTCTCCAAATTTTACCCCATGATAAACGTGGGTAAATTGGAAAATGAATTGCGATGTATATACACCAATCAAACTTTTTTGAACATCACATCAACTTGCGCGCTCTATGGGTTCCTCATAGATAACACTCTAGTACTACCTTTGCGGCGTCTGCAAATTTCTGGACATCATTTTGACGACGCCTATTTCTTCCGCCGACGCAGAGCGAACATTCAGCACGCTGGAGCGTATTAAAACGTATCTCAGAAACACAATGAAGCAAGATAGATTAAATTCCTTGGCTGTTTTATCCATTCACAGAGACGTTATTTCTGGGATGCATGACTTTAATCAGCGCGTTATTGAGCATTTTGCTTCCAAGAAACCGCGGCGTGTTGCATATATGTTCAAGCAGTAGAAGTCTAGCAGCATATATATCTATGAGTGAGCGACGCATGTCCTTATCTTTGCATTACCTTTCCTTTCTTCATAGTAACGTTTTAAACCTTATATTAGGTTTTGTCTGCTTTCCCGAAGTTTCTGTTAATATGTCATTGTATTTATCTGGGTAAATATTGCCTTTCCTTTGAAAGAGGTTTCAAAATAAACTTGACTTGGACCGGTTTTAAAGACACTTTCTTATCGTTAAAAATTGTCGCTTTTGCCGATTGGTTGTTACCGATGGAATGGTTTTTATACTCATAAAATGATGGGAGAACTTACAGCGATCATCCTGTCCCCGTAGATGGGGGTGACTTGGTCCCGCAGTAGCTTGCCCCGGTTGTCAAAATGACCACGCGCCGCCACTGCCAAACTTACTTCCAACACATGGTTTAAATTAATGAGACACTGTGGCTACATATTGTGGTTTTGTAAAAAGTGCAGAAATCCTATGTGTGCATAAACAAGTAAAACTTGAATCGTGAGCATAGGTGTCTCCATAATGTCGTGTCCCACGTACCCCACTTGTACCACGTGTACCACTTGTACCACCTGTACCAAGTGTCCCACTTGTACCACGTGTACCATATGTTCCACGTGTCCCACTTGTACCACGTGTCCCACTTGTACCACGTGCCCCACTTGTACCACCTATACCACTTGTACCACGTGTCCGACTTGTACGACGTTTCCCACTTGTCCCACTTGTACACGTGTTCCACTTGTACCACGTGTACCCCTTGTTCCACTTGTACCACGTGTCTCACTTGTCCCACTGTACCACGTGTTCCACTGCACCACGTGTCCCACTTATCTCACTTGTACCACGTGTCAAGTGGGAAACGTTGTACAAGTGGGACACGTGGGGAAAATGGGACACGTAGTACAGTGATTACAGTGACACGTGGTACAAGTGAGACAAGTGGGAGACGTGGGACACGTGGTACAGGTGGTACAGTACACGTGGTACAAGTGGTACAAAGGGGACACGTGGTGCAAGTTGGAAAAGTGGGACAAGTGGGACACGTGGTAAAAGTGGTACAAGTGGGACACGTGGTACAAGTGGGACACGTGGTACAAGTGGGACACCTGAGAAAAGTGGGACACGTGGGACAAGTCGTCACGTGAGAGAATTGGGACAAGTGGGACACAACATTTTGGAGACACCGCGTGAGCATGAAACTGCGCGTTACTACGTACAACCGGAGCACTCAGAAAACGTGTATGACGTGTTTCCGGAAGAACCGGCGGGCCTGTGCTTCGTTTGAAGTACTTTACTTGTGGTTAGTCGATGTAAGAACGCAAGAAATTGCTCATTGCGATACCTGTTCCTAGACATCTAAAGGCCGAACCTCCCGATCTATTTCAACTAATAAAATATTTTCCCAGTCCCGAAGCTTCAATGCAAGAAAAACGACATACTCGCGGAACGCAAATATAGTTGGAAGCTTCTTTTTCATTAAGTTGGAAGCTCAACAGAATACAGTTTTAACCGCCCAGGTGTGATCGACGGATATTGTCTTATGAGGGTAAAATAATACTAAATTTATGACATTGTAAAGAGATTTAATGTAATTATATATTCAAAAATATCCCATGCAGTTCTGAATTATTTGTTTATATAAACAGAAATGAAGCAAATATTATGAAAAAGGCAGATTTTTCAGGGGGTTGAATGCAAATGAAAACGTATATGCAAATGAAAACGTATTTAGAAAAAAAATGCTCAACATTATAAGCTCCACACCCACCTGTGTATCAATTTTTATGTCATCAAGATTATATCTAAACAATAAAAGAAACTTTATGTCTCAAAGCGAGGTTAGGCCCTGCTTCTTCCAGACTATATAATATATATATATATATGTGACTGCCATTTCAGGTCATACATAAAATTACATTTAAATTACAAATAGCCGTACACCAGAAAACTCTGTACCTGCAATTCGTCGATTAACTGCATCCCAACATGGCAATCAATTTCAAGACAATAATCTTTCAAATCTGTTTACATATCTACTTCATGAAAGAAACTTGCTGCACGCTAGCACGAATTCTTATATAATCAGTGATTATCGTGTGATCAGACGAAACGTGTATACTCATATACGAGTGCAACGAAGCTTTTGAATCACACAGAATATTCATATTTATTCTTGCCGCCAGTGCCAAAGCATAGAATAAGACTTAGTAGTTTGTGGCACATAGCTCCAACTGTGAGTTAATAAGTCAAGAAAAGAAAGGATATCAGTTAACAGTAAACACTGAAAAATCATCTTAAATTAAGAATGTCAATTGCATATACAAGCTACTAATTAATATAGACGCAAAAAACCAGTTTTAAGTATATTCAAGAATCCATGCTGAGTGAATATATATGTATGTTTTTTATCTCATTTTTGGTATTATTAATAAATTCAATCAGTTTGAAATGATTTGTCTCGAGAGGATTTGGGTACTTTATTAGAATCTAGCATCAATCGAAAATAATGTCACTACTTAAAACTATATTTTCAGAGCAATTACTATAGCTTTAAACTATTTCCGTTTCCCTGAATCATAATAACAGCGTCAAACCGACAAAATAGAGGCAACAGGCAACATCAAAATAAAATCTTATTTCATCAATTAATTTTAATGTATATTGCATACATTTTGTTATTCTCAAAGTATTGCTCATTCAATGAATACTAACCATTTTGTTTTATATCCGTATTATCATTCATAAAAGTCATAGAGAATTTGTTCTTCAGCCAGTAGAAAAGTAATATTTTCAGGAAAATAAAAGCTATCGAATGATGTCCATGGATTCAAAGGTGTGTACAACAATTCTCTATAATATTTAACTTAAATCTTCAAGCTATTTTTGTCTCTCACGTACTTGCATTTTCATATGTTGCAGTGTCATAGTTCAATTTTATTTGCCTATTTGAATTTCATATTACGTATTTGTAATATTGTTTTTCAAGATTGTTTACAGCATTCAAACATACAACGGAACAGATCATGACAATGTTTGCAGATATATTGCTAAACATGACGATGGCCGTCAGGTAAGTATTTATTTCAATTTTATTCGATTCAAGGTAATCAAAATGAAGATTTTTTGTCCAAAATCTACTTAGAAACACTTCTTTGCATAAAAAACAAAAAACAACAAATTTAACAAAAAGTGAAGACATAGTGAAAAAGAAATACATATATTTCCATTTTATTTTGATGACTAAATGTTTTTAGAACCCTGACGATAGTTTTTACGTTTTCGACCTGGGAGAGCTGACAAAACTTTACACGCTTTACAATAGTCTACTACCTCGAGTTAAGACTTTCTATGCTGTCAAATCTGCTGCATATGATCCTTTATTGAGTGCATTGATGGAATTAGGATCTGGTTTCTATTGCGCCAGTCAGGGAACACTATTTTAAAGTATTTGCTCCAAGTATTATATGAAAACAATGCGAATAACAGCAAATATCTTAATATTTTAAGTGGAATACATTTCAACTTAATTCAATTGAAAAATTTTACTAAAATACACAATTGGCATAAATGCATTTCTTGTCTCTATTTTGATGCTATTCCTGACTATATTTGAAGAGAAGGAGAAAGTGAACCTTTCTGTAATATAGTTCTTTGACATGCGTTGCAGGAAGAATTGAATCAGGTCAAAAGGCTCGGAGTAAGGCCTGAAAAAATTATGTTATCAAACCCGTGTAAGCAAATATCGCATTTGAGAACTGCAAAGGAACACGGAGTCAGCCTATTAGTTTTTGATAATGAATACGAACTAAGAAAGTTGAAAGAATATTATCCAACTTCCAGGTAAAAATATTTATTAAATACAGTATTAATGAGCTTTGAGTTACTGTTGATTATTACTGTTGACAGCTTTGAGTTACTGTTGATTATTTGGAAAAATAAGAATTGACAACCGTGTTAGTTAAATGATTTCAAGATTTGGAAATTACTATCATGTGAGTCAAAAGGATCACGAGATATGAAGCAATTGGTGACCGTACATTTGAACCCACGGCCATTTGAACCAGTACATTTGCACTGGCATATCCGCGGGTTCAATCTATATGTGGGTGCTAAAACCCATGGGTTAGGGTTAGTATGGGTTCAGATATCCATACAAAAAGTTTCCATAGTTGCAATAGTATGCAGGTGCAATTGTCGTGGGTTCAAATTACGGGTTCAAATGTCCGTGAGTTCAAATGTAATGGAACCGGAGGAATTCGACATTACTTAGAAAAAAAATCTAAGGATATATGCTATGGGATTGCTGTCATCCATAATTTAGCAAATCATATCATAATATCTCGAGCATTTTTTTTTTTTCAGATTGCTATTGAGAATATCTGTCGAAGAGAGTGAGAAGAAAAAAATGTATAGTACTAAATATGGAGCCGCTATTTCTGATGCTCGTGAACTTATACTTATGGCCAAGGGACTGGATTTGAACGTTGTCGGCGTGTAGTTAGTAATTTCATTGAATAATGATAACGAATACAGACAAATCGTGAATTGAAAATCCTTATTATTAGTTATTAATATAAGTTATTAAACCCATTAGAGAAACTAATTGATATTTGAATGCTGGGTGTGGAATTCCAGAATTCTGTTTTGTTATGTATCTGTTCGTTTCTTTAGTTAGCCGATCAATATAAATTTGGACAATTTCAAATCAGACAAGTGAAAATAACATTTCGAAAATGGAAGAAAATCGAAAATGGAAGTATAATCGCAAAATTAGACTGAGATGGGGGGTTATCATTTTTCAGTTTCCACGTTGGATTGTGTACCATCGATGAATCAGTTCATTACCAACAAGCATTCTCAGATGCAAAAGAATTATTCGATTTTTCTGAGAAAAATGGAGTTTCTTTGAAGTTGCTCAACATTGGTGGTGGACTCAGGTCAACTAATTCTAACTTGCGTCAGGTATGAGTTTGGATATTAAACGTGATTTAATACCAATTGCGTTATATTTTTCATTCCAACCTATAACTGTGTTGAATTAATTTTTATTACACTTATAACAAAATTTGTTTTTTTGATAGGGATCTTTGATTACGTATATATAATAACTTGACCAAAACTAACAAAAATTTTCTATAATTAAATAGGGAATAGACCGCAGTTGATTTGTTATACTACGAAAATCACAAAAAAAAATAAGACGGTGTTTTTTTTGATATGCCACTGCATTATTTATTGCCACTCTCCAACAAAGATACGCTGAGAGTTTCAATTGCAATTCCTGTTAACGGATTCATTTAAAAATACAAGTGATTTTCAATATGTTCTATTAATTTACGCAAGGAGGGTTTGATTACTATGCACCTGTAAAAATTTGGCAAAAATCGTATAATGGTTGTTGGGTGATCAAAAATATAAATCTAAACATTTCTTAATATTTAGACGGTGTCTTCAATCAATTTGGCACTAGAAAAATTGTTTCCTACGTCGAAATATCCTGACCTGGATATAATCTCTGAACCAGGTGGATTTTTCTCTAAAACTTCTTTCACATTGGCAACGAACGTGATAGGAAAAAGGGGTAAATCTTGAATTTTGTAACAATAAAAATGAGAGTACTCAAATATATAGACACGGAAGCCAAAACAAAGTAGTGAGGTTATGCAATCTGTCACAGTAGACTACCGGTGCGGCAATCTTCACGAATAGCGAGAAACCAATAATAGCCTTCTAACAATAAATACAATCTTTAACCAATGGAAAAGCAATCGGCCAACTAATCAATGAAAAAAGTAATTTTTCCATAACAATAGGAAGAAAATTATCAACAAAAACAACAACAGCATAATGACAAAATGATTCATATGTATACTTCGTGTACAGTAAGAGAGTTTATATTTGAGTCTTCTGCAGTCTATAGGTTTTAATGTGACCTAATGTGTCTTTGTTCGATAATGTCAGCCAACTTTTTTTCGCCTAAAGGAAGAAAATTAAAGAGTGAAATATTTGGGCTTTGATCAATCTCGTATTTAAAAAATACATCAAGTTAATTCAATCACGATTTTCAGCACGCTAAAACTGCCCGATAATCAATATTTCAAGAACAGGTTGTTGTGTATATATTGTCAACTTTTAATGTTTCAATCTTATACTAGTGGAAAAGGTACTTTGTTTAGAGTTTAAAGGAAGCGATACTCAATACCACTACTATTTGAACGAGGGAACATATGGAGCATTCTTATCCACGTTTACGTTACCTAAAGAGCTAAAATACTTCATCAAGTCTGAGGTAAACATTAAACGTTATACGGTTATAGCTTTTTGATGTTTAAAATAAATAATTCGTTTTTATACTTTTATGTAAAACTATGCTGTTGAAAATCAGCTACTGATAATAGTATATGCGTTGTTAGGTTCAATTATGACATTGTTTAACCAGGTGATTCAAACCTCCCTTAAATCGAATGACCAAAAGCTCAAATACCCCTTTTATCAAAGTGAAATATTCAGCGAGCAATTCATCAACTTTAAGAGCAGCAATAACATATACATTCATAAATACAAGAAGAACGTCCTGATTTAACATAATGATAAGAACTGCTTAGCAGTTATCAAACGACCGAACCAATTGATATGGATGCATACTGCATCCCATATCATTGCTAATCATAAGCTTATTTTGATATTTTGTTTTAATGGATGACATTGCAAAAATGCTACTTTCTAGCATAAAGTTGAATGACATTAAATTAAAAATGTTAATTCAACTTGGAGAGGATGCGATATTTATGTTGGAGGCCAACCCACATTTTCTTATACCTGTTGATACAATAAAATGGTAGTTAACAATAAAGTCAACAAATTTTTAATGACAATACGCCCATTGCACATTCCTGTGCTTGCTAAGCATTTTAGCTTACATCAAGTACATCGAAGAATTGCTATTATGTCTCCACCAAGCACGCGGCTGGCTACATTGTGACATAAGGTTCAATTATTTTTGCACCCACGTACATTTGCACAAGTAATTTGCACCCAGGACAATTACACCTGCATACTTTTGCATCCACGTACATTTGCACTCATGAACAATTGCACCCATACATTTGCACCCATGGTCATTGCAGCCATGGATATTTGCACTTATGGACATTTACGCCCACGTACATTTGCACCTACGGCCATTTGCACCCATGTACATTTGCACCTACGGCCATTTGCACCCATGTACATTTGCACCTACGGCCATTTGCACCATGTACATTTGCACCTACGGCCATTTGCACCATGTACATTTGCACCTACGGCCATTGCACCCACGTACATTTGCTCCTACGGCCATTTGCACCCATGTACATTTGCACCTACGGCCATTTGCACCATGTACATTTGCACCCACGTACATTTGCACCCACGTACATTTGCACCTACGGCCATTTGCACCATGTACATTTGCACCCACGTACATTTGCACTCATGTACATTTGCACCTACGGCCATTTGCACCATGTACATTTGCACCCACGTACATTTGCACCCACGTACATTTGCACCTACGGCCATTTGCACCATGTACATTTGCACCCACGTACATTTGCACCCACGTACATTTGCACCCACGTACATTTGCACCCACGTACATTTGCAACCACGTACATTTGCACCTACGGCCATTTGCACCATGTACATTTGCACCCACGTACATTTGCACCCACGTACATTTGCACCTACGGCCATTGCACCCATGGGCATTTTCAACCACGTACATTTGCACCCACGTACATTTGCACCTACGGCCATTTGCACCCATGTACATTTGCACCCACGTACATTTGCACCCACGTACATTTGCACCTACGGACATTTGTACCCATGTACATTTTTACCCATGTACATTTGCACTCTCGGACATTTGCACCCATGTACATTTGCACTCTCGGACATTTGCACCCAGTACAATTGCACCCGCGGACATTTTCACTCGCGTACATTTTTACCCTTGCAGATTTGCACCCGCGTACATTTGGACCTACGTATATTTGCACCAACGTACTTTTGCACTTGCGTACATTTTCACCCACGTTAAATTGAACCCATGAACATTTGAACCCTCAGATATTCGCATCAATGAACACTTGTACCCATGGAATTTTGCACCCGTAAACATTTACACTCATGGATACCAGTCTTTGAAGTAAAAGAGGTTTTATTGCCGTTTGCCGTATATATATATATACTCATTGGTTTGCTTTATTTCATCGAAAGAAATGAGCAACGGAAGAGGGATAGGAATATAACTCGCAATGACAGTAAAACGTAGCGACACCCAAGAACACGGGCTACCTAAAGTTTGTAATCCGTCTTCATTTCAAATATATATTTATGGTTGGTAATTAAAGTTTGTTTGAAACACGGTTAGTCGCGAACACGGCTGTGGATGCGTTTATGATGCGAATGCATATGCGTGAAAATGTTATGGATACAAATGTCCGTGGATACAGATGTGCATAGTTACAAATTAGTTACGTAGGTGCAAATGTTCATTTGCGGAATTGTACATGGATGCAAATGTACGTGGGTCAAAAAGTACGTGGGTGCTAATGTTCATTAGTGGAAATGTACATGAGTGCAAGTGTACGTAGGTGCAAATGTACATGAGTCCAAACGTCTGTGGTCGCAAATGTCCATGGGTGCAAAAACTGCAAATGTGCGAATGTCCGTGGGTGTAAACGTACGTGAGTGCAAATATTCGCGGCTGCAAATGTCCGTGGGTGCAAATGCCCAGGGTGCAAATGTACAGGGGTACAAATGTAATTGGGATGCAAATGTCCATGAGTTCTAATGTTCGTGGGTACAAATGTCCGCGGGTGTAATCTACCGGCGGGAACTAAAATCCATGAGTGAACATAGGTGCAGTTTACGGGTGCAAATGTGCTGGCACCGTGACATAACAATGCTTATCACTAGATCAGAACAAGGCAAGTTCAGCTTTTTTCAAATTACACGTGCGAGGTGATTGCCCACAGTTTGGGAACAACTGTTCTAACTCAAACCCACTACTTGACTCAAAAGTAGTTTAATAAATTACGTCCAAGCATACCGGTACGTTATTTCTCACAGTCAATCGAAAAAAGATCAGCAACGAATTCCAAACTATGGGGACCCGTTATGAACTGCGCAGACAAAGTGACAGATAAAATTATTCTTCCTGAACTTGACATTGGTGATTGGATATTCTGGAGAAGTGAGTTGAAGGAAATATACAGAAAATTATGCCTAGATATAAGTCATTCCAGCTATTTACTATTGGTCGTTTATCCTTCATGTAAAATTTCAATATTCTCTTCGGATTTTACTCAGAGCATCAAATAAAAGCTATAAATATTTAGATGATTCAATAATATCTTAATATTTTTAGTTGTTTAGCAAAAATGATAATCTCATATTCAGCAATACTTAAATTTGTTGTTTATGTTCAGATATGGGAGAGTACTCTTTTGCATGCAGTACCAGATTTTGTGGATTTGGAACAAAATCATTCTATAATGTAATTTCCAACAATGATTTGTAAGTTTATATCTAGGTGATATAATATTTATCATTATATTATCATCGATAACAGAAGTAAATTGGGCTCACCTAGTGTGATAATTAATTTAATGTGATAATTAATTTTCATATTGTATCACTAACATCATTGAATTAAATTTTTCTATTTTAATTTAGGTTTCTATTTCAACAATTGCAAAAGAAAAAATCGTCTTGCTTTATTTTCGAAAAATGGACTTCTTACGAAGAAAGTTAAAAAGTCCTAAAATTCTAGTTATTAAAAAAGTGTGCTCAAATCTTATCTACAAGGAATGGTAACTAGAATAATATGCAGGGGATATACCTCTCTTCCATAAAATTTATATTCCTCTGAGTTATTATTTTAATATAAACTGATGACAAAAATCTTGTCCTAATATTATGCAGTCGTAATAGCTGTGATGTCGTAATATGATTTGAGATGTCCAATTGAATTTATAAAACAGAAAAGTGCTTCGCAACTCTTGGGAACCACTGGACTAGACGATGTTGGATAAAATCCAGTACACTGTAAAAAATGATCACAGCTGCTAAGACACTATTGATGCCTATAGTAGACATATCCGTAGTTCGTAGTTCAGTTATTGAGATGTTTGCGTGCGCCAAATAGTACCATGCCTATAATACTCCCATTATGTTCCCGGCCGATGTGTAGGTTACAGTGATTAGTATTCAATGAATATCAACTATTTTTTACGCATATTTAAAGCTCATCATTCATGATAGAAATAATTGCCAAGTTATGGTCTCATTAATTGTTTCTGTTTTGGGTGGACCCAATCGTTACAGGTGGAATATGTTGATGACGCTGGCCTCAAAATAGATATGCACTGGTTAGGCATAAAGGGAGTTTAGGCAATGAGCTATTTTTCATCAGACAACAACTCACACTTCTTCGTAATCGATTTGTAACTTACGAGTGTAGCAGAATAAAAAACTCATCTTTCATTTATTTATTGTAGAAAACACATTGCCAGAAATCCGTAGCATGGAATAATTGCACTTATATTTGACAATAGCTACATGGTATGCACTTTACTAACAACATATTAATCGCACATCGGTTAAATGATGCTCACCACAAATTAAATTCTAGTCTAATATGTATATATATGGAGAAATCACGTCGATACAAGTTGGTGCAGCATTTCCATACGTATCAAACAACAAAATTGTCACCACTTTTTCACTACAATTGCTTGCTGTCTGTTTCTGCAAACCAATTTGGTATTGACAAAAGATATAGAAAAAATAGTTTAGTGAGTTGTTTTTTTATGTAGGTTTTATCTCAAAACTAGTATTATTCGCGAGTGGCTTTATCATACGCCGGACAAGGTTTTACGATTTCAAGTTGTTGAGCAATATTTTCCATGTTAAATTATATTGAGCTGTGCAATTTTACGATATATATCTGGTCTTTGCGGTCTGCATTTATTTCTACGATTGGCTGCTAGTCAAATATTTTCTTGGAGGAAACGCACGGATTGAATTCATAATTGCTCTCAGTCGAAGCTGGTGATACAACGATGCTCGGTCCATTTTTTATCTTCCAAATACGTGAGTGTTCTTCAGATGTCATATTTTGCGGAATATATACAATTGGTGTCACATATGATCTGTTGAGACAGCAGACTCCAGCACAACCATAGGCTGAATGTACGATACAGATAACAATACCAATCAATCCGACAAACCCAATGGCACCGTGTAAAGCGATAACGGCGTTCACGGTATCAACATTTCTAAGCATCAGAGCAGATATCACCGACAAAATAGTTTGAACACCCATGCTTGTTGCAGCAATGACACTCATGATTATGTTTACATTATAAAATCTTTGCGAAGGTCGATACTTAATTGCAATTGCGAGAATTCCAGATGTCATGGTGATTAACCCACACCATATTCCTTGAGCAATCCAGGTATAGGTGTAATTTATACGATATGGAACCAATTTCTCATCCCAATTCCGATAATATGAGAATGTGTTCAACCCGGCATATGTCACTGTAGAAACACCTAGCAAAACTGATATAATCCCTAAAATAACTTCTGTAATTCCGAGTTTAAACAACGTGATAATAAATCTTTTCTTCACTTTTGAATCATCATTTTCCCGAACATCAATCTGAGGTATGTTGATGACATCTGTCGCCTGTCCAATTTGAGACATTTTATCCAACACCTATTTAGTTCTAAGATATTGGTGTTTGAACATTTATATTTATTCATACACTCTTTAAACTTGTATTACTCAGACCGAAAATGCGGTTTCCAGTCGTTTGTCAGACATTCCAAGTCAAAAATTACGCCATCGCATACTTTGCCAGAATAAATTTCGCCACGTGTAGTCACGATTATTTTCGATGCGATCTTCTTGAGAGTTTCACTTTCATACAGTTCATAAAATTGGATTTTCTCACTCAACAATACAAATGTCAATCAGGGCTGTTCTGGTGTATACAGGAATTGGTATATTTTCAATGGGATAACCGTGTACAGAATATTTTAGCACAGTGCGATAAAGCAAATCAAAATACTTTATTAATAAACCATACGAACGTTACTAAATTGCCATATTTTAACAGTTCGTTGGCCGGTCATGTTGGTTTGAACAATGTCTGGGTTTAAATATTGCATCACGGTTCACAGGCATAAACCGCTATTTCTGTTTGCACCGTGTATTGATTCGTTAAAGCTATTTCTATTTTATCTTGCAAATGAGTTCCGATCATTTTAGTTTCTGTCTCGAAAATTTCAATCGTTTTTTTTATGCATGGCGTAAATTTAGTCGGTTTTCACGATGCCCCAGGCTACCAACCAGGTTTTGTTTGTTAATTTGACTAGATTGAATACTCCCGATATATTTTCTATATTTGTTCGTATAAGAAATTGGAACAACTGTTAGATCGATGAATGTAATGAAATTTTGATAGTTTTACCTATTTTTTTTTTACCTGTTATTGACGTTTCTCAGCTCATCTCAAGAATTTTTCGCGTGACTTTTAGACTATTCATCTAATATATTATATTATCATATATTATCAGTATTGAGTTATAAAATTTCCCAACGAGAAAATGAAAGCAAACGACACATATTCCTATAAAGTTTTAAATATGGTGAATTCATATCGATTGAGATCAAGTAATTCGCATGTAAGTCGCATATTACAGGTCAGTCAGCGAGTTACGTTTTTGTGTAATTACGTTCAGTTATAAATATTTCTAAAATTAACTATATAGATGCGATGACAGACAAAGTTCTTTTTGTCTGACCAATTCTGTATAGATACGAAAGGACTATCAAGAAAGTAGGCTACACCAACCTCATGAGTTTTTTTTTTCGTCATAATCACTCAATTATATTGACCTTTTATAATGTTTTATGAGGTAAATCGCAATCCTAATAGAATTTCGTCTAATAAAGGAAGTTTTGTATAATTTGTGTAGTCAAGCGCGGTTATAAAAGTTTTTTACCTCAATGGCGAACTTGACTATTCTACACAAGTTTTTATGATTCGTTTTTATTCACAAGTTTTACTGAGGCATTAAGATTAAGGTTTTGTGATTGTTGTGAAGCGCTGTGCTGAGGATCAATGATAATTTTGTGAAGTCGGCCTAATTACTATACATTGCATGTACAATACAGGTGATGCCACCAGTAAATCCAAGTAGCGCAAGAATGCCTGAAAGACAATAATAGTAATTAGGACATTTCTTTGATGCATGGGGTTTAATTCTGAGATAATTGATGGAATAACCTGATCAGTAATAGTTTTAAAGATGCGACAATGCTCATAACATTGTTGTAACGTTGTAATGTACCAAACTCAATATATATTGTTTGACTTCCCAATCTTCTTGGTATTCGAATAAAGGATTTAAACTAGCGTAGACAAGTGTTACAATACTATGGAGCAAATTCCTAAAATGATCTCAGTACATCCAAAATTAAATAATCAATTTCTTTAGTGTTTTTCTCCTATTTGATTCACTAATTACTTCAACAACTCTTTCTGAGATGTTTTTCAGATCAACCGATTCCACGATCTCAGTCATCATGTCATTAAGTCATTAATTCGTCTTTGTCACACCCAACTCCAAACATATGATTGAAGCTGTCTGCTATGAAATTTCTTATTCACAGTGGTCTTGCCATGCAAGACTGAACTCTCCTTCATTGAGAACGATATTGATTAAATCAATCGTTTTTAGAAGTGTTGTCGGTTCAAGGATTTTTCGGTGTTTTTGCGATCTCGTGACCGGCTTTCTCAACCACGATTAGACAAATGAATCATATCCGATACCACGTTGTTTGTTTTTATGGCGTATAAGTCAGATTAAATTTGGCAGAGTTTTAAGATAAATTTGAATTTGGCAATCAAAATTATCCTAATTCGTCAGCACGGTAGAATAGGTGGTAACACGTCATCGAAAATAAATTATCTGACATTGCACTGTACGATTTTGTTATCTTCATGTTAAAAAACAACATAAAATACTTATTTTCTTATATTTTCAGAACTGTAATAATGCAATAGAATAAGTAAAGAAGACAAAATAGTATAACATTATATATTATAAACTACTCAACTGAAAGAAAAAAAACTAGCGCACATGTGCAATAAAGTAACACAGCCTCTTATTGTAAATAATTTTAAAAATAAAGAATCACAAATGATATTTTGAATTTTTAATATATCACCATCCAAATTTGAGAGTGATCTGAGATTATTTGGCATGGAAATATTCTAAATTATCTCAGAAATGTCAAAAAACGATAGCAACTTGTGTACCATCAATAACAAATTAAAAGGTAATCATTTCGACTGCAAAAATTCAAATTACAGAGCACAAAATGATCTTTGAGTTCTGACTTTGAATGAAATCTACTTACAACAAACAAAATGAACAAAACATTTATTCATCATAAACTTATCAAAACAAATTGTCTGTAATCTTTTTAGCTTTAATATTGCCACTTTTCAAACCTCTTTGCTCGTGTGAAGTTGTGACATATTATAAATATAGCACTGTATCATCAATAACACTTTTTTTTTATAATTTTGTGCAAATATGTAAATTTAAATCAAGTTGCCGAATGATCCGATACAAACAAAGCGTAACAACCTAATAGAAGCGGATAAATAAAGGCAGAAAGAAATATAAAGAAAAAAAGAATAATCAAAATCATTAATACTAAAGAACATTTGCGGGTATATCAACAAAAATATATAAAAATTGGCTTTTCAAAGAGTACTATTAACTGGTCTATCATTGGCAAGAAATGAAGATAACACTTTTTCATGGGAGATAAAAGTAATGAAATACACTTATGATTTGCCGGGTCTAGTCACTACGACATTTGACAAGGAATATGAATTTTTTTTGGACGTTTTCACGCCTGTAATCCGAAAAAGGTTTTCGAAATAAAGTCTTTATACATAAAATGCTACTGTTTGTGTTACATTAGAAAACTTAGTAGTTCTCAATGACCAATGCTTTATAAATTCGAATTTTTTATTCAAATTGAAATCTAGCCACGGCGCCACGATAGGAAAATTATTATCTCCAACTTGAACAATGGAAAAATAGAACGCCTCATTGCCTAGAAATAAAAAAAAAACATAATTATCTGTTTTCTGATTTACTATCAAAAGTTGGATTTGAATAACAGTTAGGTGTAGGCGCCAAAATCGACGGGACATCTTCAACAACTGCAAAGCTGTCTGGAAATTCTCCACTCGCTGAAATGCACGGAACAGGAGGTAAATTCGGATCGATTGAAGCTGGTGCATTAGGATTGTGCACGGGAGACGATCTCACTTTATACTGCCCATCTGCGTCCCAGTAGGCGTCTTCACCTCTACGACTTCCTAATGTAGATGTCGCAAAAGATTCCGGACACGTAATTGCGTCAGTGTCTTTGTCCCGACGATTGCGTCGACATTTTACCATAATTAGAACAAACAAAACGCACATCAAAAATATTACGGCACACAGGACTGCTACAATGATGATGACAGTGGTCTCTTGTAAGCCGTCTTGTGCATCTATGAGAATACAAACATACTAGTTATTTAAACTCGAGTTGTTGTTTTACGAAGTATAATGTATAAAAAAAAAATTCAGTTTGAATATGATAAATTACTGAATATGATATTGAATATGATCTCACATACTGAGTAAAACGCGATGTCACACTAGTAGACAGAGATGAAATTGAATGTTTTAACAAATTGTAATTTACATTTTGAAACATAGAACTACACGTTTGTATAATCCAAGTTATAAAACTAAAGCTTAAAAGTCATGAATAAAAGTTCATCCTATTTAGCCATGTTTGAAAAAACTTTGACTAGCCATCGCAATGATATACTGTTGCTACGTTCTTTATGTTATTTTTATACTTTAACAAGTTATGCATGTATTTAAACCATTTTTTTTTTTTCAGAAAACTATGTATTCAACACATAGTGTATGAGTATATATAAAACGTAATTAGTTACCTGTATTCACTGGTGGTTTTGGAGCCTGTTTCTCTATTTTCTCTTCTCGTTTCACAAAAACTGGGCCAGCACTTACAATAGCGGCACCGCGTGTAGGATTTAAAGATCTTCTAGCTCTCGGAGATCCAAGTTGACTGCATGTCTGAAATAAACCGCAAATTTGTATTTAAGCACACGATAGAGTTACTGACGTGTAATTCTAGTATGAAATCGATTTCGTTTGGCAAATAGTGGTAGGCTAACGAGCTTACCGTATTGCAGCTATCTCCGAAGCAAACTTTTAATTCGCAGTGTAGCCAGACTTCTGTGTATTTCACAAACTTGAACACAGGTCCTTCCCATCTTGATCTTTTGCTTTTTCCGTTTTCCAATATAGTTAAATTGTTGTTGAGAGCTCCATCTTGTGGACAATAGTTTTCGATCAGAGGATAAAAGGTATCATAATCGTATAAACGAACAGGAGTAGCCCAACATTTTCTCACAGCCTAGAATAAAAGATATAGAACAGATTGTTGAACACAGTTGATGCAAATTAAAAATTAGTACTGTAACTAATTGAAATTGAAAGACTATTCTGATTCAAATATGTTTTGAAAATGTTAGAGATGATGTCGAACAACAATACAAAATGTATGAAATTATAGCTCACAATTGAGATATCTTCGTCCTTCGTTTTTAAAAGTGTCACTCCAACCCTTAGCAGTTGATCAGGTGTTAGAGAAGGTGCAGCAAAATGTGGATGTTGATATTGTTTGTCTTTGAATAGTTGCATGATGGCAGAAAATTCACCCACGCCGGACACATTGAAAGTTTTGACTTCAACTCTACAAAATATAGCATAAATATCAAAATAAGTTGAGAGTTAAATATTTTTTCCAATCATGCTTACAATGTTTAACAAAAATGCAATGTATAATTTTATATTTGTTTTGTGCAAATATCGAAATGGAAAGTAGACTACCATTAGATAAGAACCAGAATATGACATGTGTTGAGTGGCTGAAATCGATCGGGAATACACGTGGTGACCCGAAAGCACAAAAAATTATTAGTATTAGTATTCTTGTATATGATTCATTCTTCAATTATCGAAAATTTATGAATGATTATTTGTAGTTGAAAAAAAAAGACCAATTGGGTTCAAATGACATTCGCAACGCAACATACGTCTGTCGCTTAACGAGCAATATATTAAATAGCCATGTATCAAATATGAGATATCTTGAAAATCGCATTATTTTTGGTTACGTTATTCTTAGAAATTGTATTACAAAAAATACTTTATATTGCGAAATAACGTAAAATACTTCACATATTTTCTTTAAATTATAACTAGCAATCTTTCTTTACCTGAGATCAGGTATGAGATCCGTGTGTACCGTCATTTCCAGTGGGAATGTGCAATAAAAATTCATATGTACAAGTGGATAGGGTTTTATGTTTGTTCCTCCTATAAGAATATGTCCTGAAGGATCCAACATGTCAGCATACCACGAGTCGTGATTACGGCGATTTGATACAGTGTTAGTGAAGTTAACATGAGTATCATTCACCTGGAAAACAAATCAGAATATTTATATTTACATGCTGTTGACTTCTAACGTTATATAACAAAGTTTTTTTTCTATTTTCTTGAAATCAGGGAACAGCGAAATTCAAAACTTAGCAGTCGAGTCGTACCCAAGCGAGACATTCTCATTATTTAAGAATGTGATGTGGCTGTAATAGTCGAATAGAAAGGTTCACTAAACAACAAATAGGTGTTTCATCATACTATTTTGTTTCATTCGTTATTAAGAAGAAGTAAGTCGAACACCTACCGTAAATTGGGTTCCACATCCAAGTATGTTTGGAGCAAGAGTATATCGATAATATTTATCATATTCAACACCTTTGCAGTTTTGCCCATCGTCTTTATTAAAATGGAGCGGTCCGAACTCTGATTCATACTTTCCAATTACGTTCTATATATAAACAAAATCTTTGTGAATAGTGTGAACGCATGAAAACCAAACACATTACTGTTACATTTATAGCTAAATAAATCAAATATGGTAAAAGTCTAGGCTTTGCTAGACTGAGTCAGAATTCAAACCTAAAAACAGAAACAAGTTCAACCCAGCAAATTTTGCCCTTGACTGTGAGCGAGATACCGAGGTACTAGCCCCTTGGAAGAGATTTTGCCCAGGGAGTAAAGTTGGTCATTCCAATTCTTAGTAGATCCTACTTGAAATCGAATTGCGTGATTTGGAAAATGATGTGAAATATAGCACACAAATACTGTCTCTTTATTGATTAACTACAAATCTAACATTGGATATCTATTTTAAATATACATAGTTTATATTTTCTTGTTCTTACTTTGTCAACGAAGACCGTTATGTTATTCGGTTTACAAATTGTCTTGAAACCGTTTCTTATTGTAATTGTCTCTCGGTCGTGTTCTATGATTATTTCTTCTTCTGTGACTGTGAAATGATAGGCATGAGATGAAAAATTTTCACAAACTCAAGTTATTAAATTATTTGTAAAAAAGCATACAGCAGAAATGTTTTCAATAATTGTTTTGTACCATCAAAGAACGTTTCTAACTAATACAGCGTGCCAAAGGTGCCATAATAGCTAAACATGCTGAACCAATATATTCAATACAATATGAGTGAATATATGACTAAAAAAGCATATCGGAGAATTAAAACATGCAACATCCTAAGCTAAAATTTGAATTCAAATTTTAGCTAATGGTTACGTCATGAAAATAATGATACTATCAACGTAAAAATTGAAGAAACTTAGTAGTATTATTCATACCTGGCTCAGACGTATAGCTATATTGAGTTACATTACTGTCGATTTGTTTTGTTGTTGTCTCTTCAGCGGTTGTTGTATTACCGATTGTCGTATCTTTCGGAATCAGTGTCGTCAAATCGCCCAGTTCACTTGGTGGTAGGGTCACCAGTTTTGACCGAAAACGTGGGAGCATTGTTAGTTTTCCCGTAACTTCATCGGTAGTTCTCAATTCATTCAATGTGCTTGTCGTATTAAATATGACCTGACTGTCAGTAGTAATTTCTGCAACATCAATTTTTGAGGTTGGACTTAATGTTCCATTTGTTGCAATGGTAGTCGTTCCGGTCGTGTGGACATGATCCGTGGATTGATCTGTTTTGGAATATGACTGAGTAGAATCAGTGGTAGATGACAGAAAATGAGTTTCTTTGGCAGTTGTGGTTGTGGCCGGTACATTTTTTAAAAAAGATATCGTGATATTGGTTAATGCTATAGTTGAAAATTCGGACATTATAGGTGTGGCTGCAGTCATATTTTCCACTGCCTTCCCTGGGTGTGATTCATTTATAGAAGTCGTCATCAATAACGATGCAGTTGTTATAGAAAGGGTGGTTGTTGAAGGCATAACAAGCCTATGTGTAACTCCCATTTTCTGTGTAGACGACGTTCCAGCCTGACCTCCATTGGTGGAATTTTCAAACGAGACAGTCGTTGGTTGGGGAATGCCACTTGCGGTGCTCTCAAAATAACGCATTGACGAATCATCAGGCGTCTTCTTGGTTTGCGTGGGTGATGAAATGGTCTCCGAAGTATTTTGATTCAAACTGGATCCGGAGGTCGTTTGGATTTGACCTTTAATGACACTACTTCGTGTGGTTAGAAATTCTATATAGGGAATCTTTGTGACGTTATTAGGTTTATTGAAGTGGTCTGAAGTTAATGTACTCTCGATAACTGGTTGAGTTGTCGCCATAACTGGAAAAGTTTCTACAGTTTTAATGTTCCTAGGTTCGGGCCTTTTTGTGATTTCGAATGCCCTTCTTTCCGGTATAACAAGTGGAACATTTGTTGTTTTAACAGGCACCGTGTGAATACTTTTATTATTATTGGACGAATTATTGTCTACTCCTGTTGCAATAGAATGATTTACTGTCTTTGCCGATTCTGCAACTGTTGCAACAGGTATTTCAGTGTTTGGTGCAGTTGACAAATCGGTGAAAGCTATGGATGATGCAAAGGAAAGAGGAAAAATTGCGGAATTCATAGTGGTTGTAGTTGTCAAAGTAGCGTTACGATTCTGCCCACCGGGAGTTGGCTCAAAGGTATACGACGAAGAGGTAGCTGTGGACACCGGTGACCTATTGTGAATACCAGCAGTAGTAAACACTTTATATATTGGCAATGACGTAGTATCCATTTTGGAGAAAAGTGTAGCACTTTGATTCGTCGATTTTGTTGCGGTTGAGAGAGTCGGAATTGCCGAAAACCACAGGTCTGTGGTTCGTCTTCTGGGACTTGGCTCAGAGGTAGACGACAAAGTAAAAAGTGTCGATGTTGACGACTTTGGGATACTAAACGGCCTTGTGGGCGATATCGTGACTGTAAACTGTGGAGTTGAAAGAACTGAATCTGTTTGTTTGAGTGTTTTAGCATTTGTTGTAGTGTGCTGAAAGACCCTGTAAAACGGTGCATTAGTTGTTGATTTTGTTGAAGTATATTTTGGAGTTAATCGTGGAGTTAAGGCCTTTACATCAACTTCCGGCCGAGTAGTTGTTTTTGCAAATGTTGAAGGCACCAAAAATGTACTTAGATGCGTCCAGTTGTTGATGTCAGTGGTAGTTTTCCGAGTGACTGAGCTGTCTCCATTGCCTGTTCTCGTTCGAACAGTCGGTGTTGTTGTTTTAGTACTTTTATATGTACTACGAAATGAAGGTTGCGAAGGTTTAGTTGTTCGCCAACTTGTGAGCCTATTAGGTTTGATACTTTCTGACGGTAGTACTGTTGGCAATACCTTAAAAGACGATGTAGTATATCTTGTTGCCTTCGACGCCGCTGTGCTCGTACTACGATACGTAACTGGTGTTTGAGTAAGCCAGGTAGGTATAGTATACACGAATGGCTGCCTGGAAGACGTAACAGTCGATCGTACTGGTTGAGGTAGAGTAGCTCGTGTGGTAGTTTTCCACCATTCATTAGGTATCTGCGAGCGCATCGTTGTCGAAGATGTTGGAATCGTTTGTTTTGTCCATCTCCACGTAAAGGGAGTGTACGTGGGTTCGGTTGTTGGAAGCGACGATGTTATTGTTTTTCTTGAAGTGCTTCTTGGTTTCGGATATTTTATTGAAGTCCACGATGGAACAACAGGCGGATATTGTGTTGAAGTTCTTGTTAACCGGCTTTCCACCGCAGGTCGAGTAGTAGGGATCCACGTATAGGGTCTACGAGGCAATGTAAACGAACTGTATGGTGGTGCAGAAGTAGTTTGAGGCTTTAAAGTTGATGTAGTTGTCGATGTAAAAGTCCAGAAAGGAAATAAAGGGCTCTTTGTTGTACTTCTGGACGTTGTTGTCGGGTCTGTTGAACTTACTGTGATCGGCCATGTAAATGTACTCAAAGTTTCAGAAGATTGCTGAATTACACGTCGAGGATCCGTTGTTGTTCTCCACGGGTAATATTGTGTTTTAGGGAAAGGTTTCACAGTTCTGCCGACTATTATATTCGGTAGCGAAAAATGCGGTCCAATCGTAGACCCAATTCCAACTGTATTTGGGAAGAAAATTTCTCCGGCTTTTGCAATAGGATCTAGTTGGTGAAACTTTTCAAAACTAACATCCGGTGGAACACTGGTTTTCCTAAATGGGTTCATTGGAGTATACGATGACTCCAACTTCTTAGCAAACGCATTTACATTTATATGTTTATTCTTTCTTTCAGTGTGCACTTCACTACTGTAACTGTTGTGAGGCATGCCGTAATCTGCGATGCAACAAAGAAAGCCACATGCATTGTTATAAAGCAATCATGCACTAAGTTTAACTGTAAGCAGCTTAATTCAAGAAGAAACAAAGCCAAATCCAAAACATGTGCAAATCACATATTTTGGTGAACATAAGATAGGAAATTTTGTATTTACTTATCAATGATAAATATGAAATGGTATGACAGAGCAACTTTTCAATCGGTTCGAATGAAAAGCTTGTAATTCATCAAATTAGCCATAAGACATGCATCTAACACTATATCAAACGTTTCAAATTTCAATATTTGGCCTAACTGAAAGTGCCTCTAAAATCCCAAAATATCACTACCTATTTTATGCATATAATATGTTTCCCTCAGTGGGTATTTCAACACCAGAATATACAAAAGTGACTCACTCGTATTGTGAGTCGTTGTAGAAGGTTTGCTAGTTGCTTTTGTGATTGTCGAAGTCGTTGTGTTAAGTTCCTTGAAGTCGCCTGGCGGTCCGGGATTTTCTTTGTCGGGGAACGGAGGTGGGTAGGTTGTTTCCCTTAATAGAAATCAATATTCATTTATAAGAATAGAATAAAATTAAGGAAGCGATACACAAAATATTCGTCGATTGTACAAATAAGGAGTCGGAGCTTCCAGTATTTGTCTTACATTGGTAAATTTGAAGCTTTCATGCTGAAAAAATGTACAAACTACTTACGGTTCCTGAGTTGTAGCTCTGCTTGCTTCGCTGTATTTGATCGTAATATTTGTTGTAGCATGTGTTGCTTCTGTTGTGGCGGCAAATGACTTTGTTGTTGTCTCTGATGTTGTAGAGCTGGATCGTGATGGGATCGTACTTGGTGCGTCTGTAAATTGATTTGCGCGTGCTGCTGGTTCCGCGGGATCTGCTGTTGATGCTGTTGTATTGTCGATTGTTGCTTTTGTTGGTGTGGATGACATTGTAATTGCGGACGGTTGTGATTTTGCGGCTTCTGTTGTTGATTGTGACTTTTTTCCTTCTCTCTGGTTGTCGGTGGTTTGTTCTGTGACGGCTTCCTTTGTGATTGCTGGGAACTGTCGTGTTGTTGGTGTTGTGTCCTCGTCGAATGACTTCGTTGGTGCACGAGTCTCGCTTGTAACATTTGTTGCTGTTGTATACGTAGCTGTCGTTTCCTTCAATGAAACGATATGTCATTTCATTATTCATTTAAAAAAACGACATTCACAAGGTTAAAAAACAAACAGTCAGTCACTCAAAAAGATTGTTGAGCTGACCGTATCTATAACCTCCGGTCGTCAACCAGGCCAAATTCTTAAATTACTGCAATTATAACCGGAGCATGTAAATATATTCACATCAGTGTCTGAATCTGAACTTCTTATTATTACATACCCACATAAGCAGCATTTTGTATTTAAATGATATATATAGACAAAATGTCCTTTTTGTGTTTATTCAAATAATATAAATTCACCTGCGATCGTATTGTTCCCGTTGCATCTGCGTTTGTCGTCGTACTACGCTGCTCCTCCGTTGCCGCAGAGCCGCGAACCGACGTTGTTGTAACAATAGGAGATGCCGTTGTTGCAACTGGCGTACCTACAAATGTTGTATGCGAAAATGTATGCACTGTCTTGTTATGATTTTTAAAAGTTCAAACTATTTATCCAGACTTTATTCACTACCTTGTGATGCACTTGAATGCAACATCTAAAATTAACTGTAATCACAGAGTTTGACCACCACAGAATAATGATAGTTTATGAATAAAAACGAGAAAATTGACTGCGGGAAAGACGGGAAGGTGTAAAAATAATTTGTTTAAAATTTGAAATCAATTTTTTGCGAAATGAAGCTAGATTTGACGATTCATTTCACTCAAGAGTTACAATTATTAAAGCAAAGCGAAAATGATAATTTTACAACCGAATAATGGAATTCTAATCGCATACCAACAGCTGCTTGCGTTGCTGGGTTTGCTGTGTTGATGACTGATGTGAACTTGGATTCTTTTCTTGTCGATTTTTCGACTCGCTCTGTCGTTGTTGATTGACTTGTTGTTGCTGCTGCTGCTGTTGTTGTTGTTGTTTTATAGTTTTCTGTTTCTGCTGTTGTCTCTTCGACAAGACCTGCAATTGCTGCTGGTGTCGTTGTTGCCGCTGCTGCTGTGCTTGTTTGCGCTGTTGTGCCTGTGGTCTGGATGATTACAGTCATAATAATCTCATTAGATATCTCTTGGAATAGTTATATTTAGTGGACTCTACTATATCTAAACAGCTATATCGACTAGCATGTACTTTGTTTTTGTCTTTTCTAATAAATAGTCGGAGATATTTATTAGAAAGCTTTTATTTCTTAGTTTGTTCTGTATAAATTGAATAAAAAAAGTATTCCAAACTCGCATTTGAAATATATGTATGAATATGGCTGTAAGAATAGCGAATTTATTGAGATTTCCAACTATATATATATACTTTATGACACCGATATCAAATGCACATCCTTACTTCTGTCCAGACTGTTTTTTCTGTTGCTGCTGCTTCGGGCGGGACCGGGATGTTGTCGCTTGGGGGCGCTTTTGGTTCTGGGTCTGTGAATTAAAAAAACATCAATCAAAATGACCGACGTAAACAAATGCATCAACTATTTAAGTCTGATAGGATTAGCTATTCTCACCGCTCTGAGTCTTACCTTTGGTGGCATCTCAGATAAATGCAGTCAATATACATTCACTTGCAATATGATAGTTATACTTGAAATGTCGTATATCTTGTGAAATTCAAATATTCTAATCGTATAGTATTATTATACCTACGTTTCTAAGAAATTTTGACAGAAATTAAACACTATAGGAATATTTTGTTGTGCAGCATCGATAGGTGCGAAATTTATAGAACTTATATTGCATGAACACTTTCGTGAAAACAAGAACACTAGTTGTAGTAACATTTAGCAGGCAACAGGCTTAGGCTAAAAGAAAATGGCTCTGCACTACACGCTTCTTTTTCTTCATTGTCATTCTTCTATAGACACTATGACTAACTAATAGTCTCAATGCCAATGTTTCAATCATTCGTTGTGAATTACAAATATGTGAATATCTTGACGTAGCAATCAATTGCAATGAACATACTCTGCTCTAATATAAGTTTCTGCACTTCTTTCATTCATTCTATCTGTTCTATGTTAAACAATACATTTTGTGTTCTGTGCTCAAACAACTCGTCCTGTAACAGCAAATTCTGTCCAAAAAAATTACCACTTAGTCTTCTATCATCCCATACCAAACATCATTGATAAAATTTCAAGAAGTACTGTCTAGAATGAACTCCCCTAGCACATGCTAACGCTTCTTCGAATGATATTCTTATAATGAGTTTTATGTATAAGTAATAGTCTCGAGCTAAGGACCCAAGGGACAAATTGACGTGTTTTGGCTAGTCCGTTAATGATGCGAGTTTTTGGTTTTATGACGCTTAACCAATTAATTGCAAATTAGTAGTTACTATTTCTTTTCGCATAACTGTATCATTTAATCCTAATCAATCTCGGGACAAGTTCAATGGTTATGACTGCCTACAGTTAATTTATTGTTTGTCCATAATTATAAATGCCCGCAAATGTTGTTTCGGTATTTTCCTGTGAATAAATACACCACCTTGTTGTTGTTGTTTTGTCAAACAGATATTAATTGAGCAAACCGAACTTACTTGTTCGTGTTTGTACAGTCACTGGATCACTTTCAACGCCATTTTTCACAGTAAACACGTTGATGACGTAATCGCTCCCTGGCTCAAGTTCGGTAATAGATAATTCAGTAATCCCAGGGCCCAAGTACTTCGTAATTGTTCCATTCTGAGGAGAAAGAAATATGTGGTTTTAAATAAACTTTTATAAATGATAGGTACTAGACCAGGAGAAACAACGTATTTAGTCATGAACAAACCGCAATCTGTTGTTAAATGTTTGCGGAAAATTTGAACTTAAAAAACATGTATTATAGAGCAATTCTCATTATGCTTTTTAAGATCTCAGCACCAGGTTTGAACGCATGTGTACGATAAAAATTTGTGCAATTATTCTCAGAATGAATTTGTTTAGTGAATTTACCTCTTCCCCAACAATGGTGTAGTCAATCTTTGCTCCCCCATCAAAATATACAGTTTCCCAGCTCATAATAATGGTGTCATGTGTCGACGTAGTCTTTACTTTATTTGGTGGCAGTGGACCTAAAATTGAAGTGGTATATATTAAATAGCTTTTATATAGCCTATTTAGCCGCGTACATCTAAATTTTATTAATTCAATATTTTAATCTATTTTCAGGTCACGACTAGGTGATAAATACTCACCTAAAGCTCAGGTAGAAGTGACAACAAGAAAAAAATGAGGTTGTGTGAAAATAGTCAAAACATCAAAAAGACAAGTACAATAAACTAATGAAGTCGAAATTCCAATATACCGTTTTAGGCTTTCAACGAAATGAATCCAGATATTTACTTACGTGTGTACACTGTCTCTAGCAATGGTTCACTGAAAAGATCGTTCCCAAAAGAAAATATTTCGACTTGATAGGAACTTCCTGGATCAAGTCGAGTCAGATTAACTCTTGCATCCCAAACACGTTCTCGAAGACGGCCGAAGTCGCGATCAGTTGGGTAGTACACAATCTATTAAAAGTCATATAATAAATTAAATAAAATCATAAATAAATATTTATATGAAATTACAACTAAGTGATTCTGAAATATTAACACGAATACAAACTGTTGAAAAATTACCTCGTAATATTCGAATTGCCCTGGCGGAGGATTCCATGTGATGAAAACTGATTCAGATGTTATTTGTTCGCTTTTGACTTCTTTTCTTGGAGTTGCAGGAGGAGTGTTGATCACAATTACACTTGGTTTAAAACTTAACAAACCATCCATAGTACTATACACTTCAATATCATATGTCGTGCCTTTATAAAACAATTACAAAAATGTTCAAATCAACTTTAAGTAATAAAAATGTGTCATCGGTCGGCATATTAGTTGCGAAGAAAAGCGATTTTTTTTCAACAAGAAAAGCAACAACAACAACAAGAATTAAGCAAAAGGATTTATATGTACACTCTATGTCCAAAATTTGACACCTTTTCCTCTACACAAAGTCAGAACACTATTGGGTCGATATACATGACTGGCTGTGGCTATAAAATATATATAATGATTAAGATATATATTTAGGATGATCGCATGACCGAAAAATGAAGCAAACCACTAAAATTAAATTTGCAATTTTCAGTTTGCAATTTTCTACGTGAATCCTATAGTTACCTATCTCCGTTAGGTACTAACTGATAGAGTTAGCTCTTAACTTTCAGACAACAAAGTGTACAGACTACAAAAACAACCAGCTTACCTGGAATTAGGTTATCGACTTTTCTCCTTTGATGTAAAGGATCATCACTAATTTGAACTGCAATTCCTCCCACAGGCTCAGTCTCAATTGCGTATCCATCCAGGATGCCACGGTGGTTTCCTTCCCAGGATATTACTACAGATGTTGACTTCAATTCTTCCACTGTTAGCGAACCAGGTATTTCCGGGGCTATGAAAATGTAATTAATTTTATTTACACTTTCACTTTAATTTGATTTTATAGAAAAACACGAAAAAAACAAAATGTCTATTAACTTGGAAAACGATTTACACTTACGCATTCGTTCTTTTCCGGTAATGGGGTTACTGAGAACCCCGTTGCTTTTTGTTTGAACTGTAAAGTCATATGCGACTCCAGGTAATAGCTCCCAAACAATACGGCGCTGTTCAGTGCGCGCTTCCGAAGATATTCCACCTGACGAAAAAAGTTTACAATTTTATAGATGAGTTGATGAAGATGTCAATATTAAAATAGACAGGGTAAAGAAGCAAACTATTAAACTTACTTTTTAACTTTATTGGAACTCGGATTGATCCGTGTGGTGGATCCACAGTTAAAACAAAATCATCGAGCATTCCCATATCTGGCATCTCCCACGACACTACAGCGCCGTATACCGGATACATCATTGTCTTTGAACCGGTTACTCGGTACTGATTTATGAGAGGATTCACAAATTTTGATACTTGAATATTATAAGGTGAAGCTGGCACTGAAAAATACGTCAATTTTTTTATAGTAAAGTTTAATAAAATTTAATTTGAAACAAAAACATTACTTTCTTAGAAAAAAACTTCTCGCGGATTAAATCATGAAATGACATTTTCACATATATTTTATAATAAGACATGTTTTAGTAATAAATTTTAAATACAAAAAAAATCAAGAGAACATAAATTGATGATTTACGTAAGACATGAAACTCACGATTTTCACTTTGGGATCCTACAATTGCATGGGAAGCATGATGAAAATAAACAAAATTTGTAAAACCTCTATGGCAAAAAGACAAATTCAATAATTCAAATTCAGGCAAACGTAATTCAAATATTTACCTTATCAAAACCAATATTTGGAAGTCTGAGAATGTTTTCATTTTTAAGTCATTAATTAAATCCGTTTTTTTTTCTCATATGTATTGAAAATGCATAATCATACTGTATTACTTATATTCTAAAGGTCGCTTCAAATACTAAAAGGTATGGTAATTATAAGCCCATGTTGTTTTTTAGGCCAATTAATGCTTTGTTTAATTTTGTTGCCAATCATTGAAATATAAACTATGTTTTTGATCGTGAATAACTAATAGGGAAACATAAAGGGCGTATTTACCAGTGGTTATAATAAGAACAGCCGGTAAACTTGGATCCTCGCCATCCACAACAGACCTGACTTCAACAGTGTACTCTTTCCCAGATACCAAGTTGTCCCAAGTAGCATGGCTTGAATTGAAGAACTACAAAATAATAAATATAGCGGCATTTAGTAAGTTATAGTTGTAAACTGCTGTGTAATATTGATAAATAAAAAAAAACTAGAAATGCGTATAAATGGTACTCCGTGAAATCTAAATACCACAAAACAAAATTAAAACTAAATCACAATAATAAAGTGGGCAGTATTGCGGCCAAATATTCGATAGACAAAATAGCCAAAATAATATTTGAATCAAAAGCAGAACTAACATACGGAGATTTATGTCTTAGATGCGACGTTTTGTGATGAGGTGTGACCGCACGCCGGTATGTTTATATTTACAGTTGGCATACCACAAAAATTATTATACTCATTGTTGAAGTACAACATAAAAATTCCGCACAATTTTTAGCAATTTCGTAGAAATATGGACTGCAAATAATTCTTTAATCGGAAAACTAAATTGTTGATAAAATAAGGAAAATTTTGCCGGAAAATGAAAAAAAATGTTGTAATTTTCATGTAAATCAATGCCATCAATGGATCGCTATATTAAAGGATTTCACCACTGGACAATTATACTAGAAGTAACATTTATGTCACAACAATCTAATTATTTGTTCGTTATATAATCATTCAAACTTTTGTTATAATAGAAATGAACGATGGATTTGTCTCCACCCATTTCATCCCCTCATGGAATCGATTGTTACCACATTAAACTACTTTACGTCACAACCGATAAGAGAGTACATGATAATTGGGCTATTTGGTTTCGATGACACGACGGTAATGCGATGGCCTAAGCCCTAAAGGATTGACTTAACTTTAACAAAGAGATACGTTTATTTGAAGTATTTGGGTGTTAGGTAAAAAAAAATGTACAAAAACATAATATGTTTAACGATGATGACAATAATATTATGATCTCGACTAAGTAAGTTTGAAAATCTGCGACAAACCAGAACAAATTAATGAAAATATTTGTTTTATCATGTTGCATTATATATACAGGCGAGCATCTGAAACTAAGTAATAACAGAATAGCCAAATATAATAATATAAGCTTTCAATCGGGGGGTAATAACGACAAATTTGGCCAGGTTAAAGAAATACAGTTCGATTACTTATGTAGCCCAGTAGTGTTCACTGATAACACATAATGATCATTCTAAATAAATTCCACAAGGGTATCAATTCCCACAGAAGCTTTCGTAATGCTTACGAGTTGTATTTGATACGGCAATGCGCTCTAACGACCTTAGAAAATTAGCCTTGGGCAATTTAGTATGTACAAGTCAGATTTACAGGTCAAATATGCGCTAATAGTAGCAATCCCGTTGTATATTTACAAATAAAAATTCAAAATTTAAACTGCCCAATAAACACTTTAATTAATGACCGGGAATGCAAGTGCGATTGCTGGGAGAAACTATTCCCAGAAGTTACACATCGTACTGAATGTCGGGATATGTTGTTTTTATGAAAACGTTGCGAACATTTACTTATCATTGTTGTGAACTGCTTGTCCGAAGAAATTTTACTTCGGTTGGACAAAATCATAAATAATAAAATTGTGAAAGTCTGATGCAAGGCTTTTGAACCACTTAATTAGGCCGTTTTGATTCTTTTCACATTGGACTTGCAGCCCGTACATACGGATCCACCAACAGAAAGGCAGAGAGAATGAATATAGTCAGGAACACGGTTTTAAATTGGATATTGTTACCACGCCTTTTTGAAATTACTCTGCTCGTGCGCTTTCAAGAACAATCTATATATTTTATAAAATCGGCACTCGAACAACAAAATTGTTTAATTTACATCAAATTATATGCTGAAGTATTCCACATTATAAACTTAATTATTAGTTTTAAAAACCCGTAAGAAACGTTTTACGTCGATAAAAGTCATAGTGCAAGTCAAATTATATCGTAATTCTGCACATTTAATTCAATTTATTTCAAATACTTAGTCGCATTACGTGGGAAATGCGTCGTAAAGTTCGAGGTCAAAGCCATTTGTACGTCTCGATAATTTACAAAGCGAGTTAAACCTTTTAGCAGGAAAGACTTAATTCTAAGAACTGTCTCAAGACTCAATGTTTGAATGCTCAAATTGACTTTTATTGAGGTGTCAAACTCTAATCGATGACAAATTCAATTTCATTTTACCGTGATTTAAGTCTTCTTATGGATAATCAACCCATGCAAATCCGCGTATCTAAAAAATTATGAATTCCTCCAAAAATCACCATGCTTCCACCATCTACATTCTACTATCATGAACTAAATCCATAATCAATTTGAACAGCAAGTAATTATTGTCTATATAAAATTACAAGAAAATGATGATCTACCTGAGGTAAAGCTGATTCACCGTCATCCAGTGGTGATATAGAAATGGAGAAAGAATCTGTTGGTTCTGTCGGTGAAGTCCATGATACTGTTACAGTGTTGCTTCTCAGATTAACTACTCTCAAATTGGATGGGGGACCTTAAAAATGAATTGCACAAAATTTATGAATACAATTTTAAATAGTAAACAATTATCAGTAGCTGTATATCTTACTTCAACAATCGTAAATTTGCAAATAATTATTGTTTAAAAAGAATTCAATTCATAATTTCAACTCAAAATAAAATGGGATGTACACCGTGTCTAAAATCTCTAAGCTTCAAAAACTTTTATAATACTTTGTAACTTAATAATGACTTAAAATGCCAAGAATATTTATACTTTCAAAACATTACGTAATAGTTTTGTCAAGAATAACATTGTAATCCTCGATGAAAATCTGGATGATTGTTTTGACATTGACATCTCGCCAAATGTTTCGGAAGTTTGTACCAAGCTTAGCAGTTTTATGAATAAAAGATAACACATATAAAATAGTTTGTCATAATATCGACATCAAGATATTTTATAGTATACTGGAAAACCTGACGAAACTATAGAAATGAAGTAATAAAATATATTTATTTAGTCATCTACTCACTTATAGCAGAAATCAGCAGGTAGAAAGATGATGTCAGCAAGAAGCATATTGAAAGTAATCTATAGCCCCTACCCATCTTTATATCTGAAAATGAATTACAGGTTTTAAATATAAAATTTAATTAAAAAAAAATATTCGTTAGATTAAAATAATCAATGTTACAATACTATAACATACAACACATTTTGTAAAAATAAAATTTACACGTTCTTGGCTTTTTACAGTCCAGAATCATCTGCTTTCCATACTATTCTCCTGTCTATTAGTGGTCCGAATTGTAATTTGTTCAATTGTAATCTATACTTGATACTGTACGCCTGATGTTCATATTATTGGTACTTTGTTACAGAAAGTTTGCATGCATATATACAACGTCAACGGCTGCACCGACACCCCTTCGAGTTATATTTATGTACACATAATAGGCAAAAATCTGATATTTATTCAAACAACCATATCCCAATTTCTCAAGTTTTTATTCTTCTTCTGAGATTATTGGTGCTGTTTTATTGTATTCCTAAAGCAAATTCTTGGTTAAAAAGTTTGCCCCCATTGATGCAATAAACTGCATTGAACAATGGTAATTAACCTATATAAAGATAAAAAAAAAAAAAACTAAACATGCAGCTGCATGGATGGCTTTTATTATGCTTATTGACTAATTGTTCATCCATCCGCTACAAGTCAAGTTTTATTGACGTCATCGATTTTTCAAGTCGTTGGTAAAACGCTAATTATGATAATTAACTCGACGCTGTGTAAAAAAATTTCAATCTTGTTGAGGCTTAATTTGTTGAGTCCGTAACATTTTTCAAAATCGCATGGCAACGTCAATGCTATGTCACTGTCGATTATAACCTAATACATTTAAGACGTAACAAATATAAAACTAACATGCAGTCTATTCTGCATAAAATTTTAATAATCATTGATAGCAAAATCTTAATTTGATAACACAAAACGACTACGATTTTATAAATTAGTTACAATAAATGAGTACAATAATAAAAGTAACTCTTTTAATATCGAATATACAAATCTAACCGAAATTTTATAGCTATGTGTTGTGAAATATCCAAAATATTCAGAGAAAAATAAGGTCAGGCATTTACAAATTTAATTTCACAATACTATATGCAAAAGTTCACAATGTGACATTGTCTACACGCTGTCAATAGGTAGACACGTCCTGTCATATGGTTGAAACTATCCAACAGCAATCAAAGAATTTTTCACGATTTATATTTTGTATAAAATTAATTCATAGGTTTCATATTATTTCAATATAAGCAATGCATGCCATTCTAAGATTAATATTTACCAAATACTGATAAAAACTATTCCAATGTGTAATTCCTGCTATAAAGTCGTAATTTGTATCAACGGTTGATAAAGGTCTTCCACGTCAAAATTGCAATTATTAATCAAAAGAAAACAACACAAGCTCTGACATTAGGAATAATTAAATGAAATTCGTCTCTTTAGAAAACTGACAATCAAATTGTCAAATTTTTTTTAAAGAAAAATATTTTCATCGAAAATTTATAGTTTATGCAAGCATTAACGCAATAGTCGCTAATTGGTTTGATTTCTAAAAAAAACAGAAATTTGCGAATTATAACAGTAGATGCTGTATTCCTTCACAGTGTCTTACTTCGGATTGTTCCCGTAAATTTCTATTCATCAGCAAGTGTTATAAGGCAGAAATCCTGTTTAAATCGTCAATACTTTCTGGATGACGTCTGCAAAATAGCTAAATGACGTCACCCTCTCACAGAAAACAGCCGTATTTTCTACTTTACTCAACGTTTCATTTGTTCAATTAGATAAAAGTAATAATACGCTTTCAATGGCTTCAGGGTACGGTTCGGAATTGAATTGAACTGGTTTAGAACAAACAAAGATTTATTCCAATTCCAAAGTTTCGCAAAGTAAAAGATTTCGTGCAAAATTTACATTTGGACAAAACTTGTCTATTTAGCTGGTACATTGAAAGAGAGTATCATGATTATGGATCTTAGGCATAAAAATGCAACTTTTTTCCTCTCTTGATGTACATCTTGTTTATGTAAAGTACTTTATCGATCAATATTTTACGGCCGTTTAATTTACAAATACGCCAGCTTTATTTGAGGAATAAATAAATCAAAAGGAGTGAATATAAACGTTTAGTGATATGAAATTATACAGTTAACGCCGGAATTCATAGTTCATACGGTTATATATATATATTGCTGATAGAGAGCGGCCTGACTTTTGATCACCTTATTCCGCGACACAAAAAAATATTGTATATTACTCATTTTCTCGATACTTAAAAACTCTCTTACTTTGTTTGAAATATTCATCTTGAATATATTTTTTAATCAAAATTCACAACTGATCACTAACAAATTACCTTTCTAAATGCTACACACCTTAATCTCAAGCTTTTTGAATTAAAAAGAGTTGAATATTAATCGGCGTCACGGCTTATGAAGGAAAATATTTCCGTTGGTCATTTCTTACAAATTTTCAGCCGTTAAGCTGAGGAAATGTTTTTCCATAAGAAAATGACTGACCGATACTGAAAAAAATAACGTGTTATTCACTCGAATGTTTTGGTGACTTTCCCTATAGTGAATGCGTTGAATTATTGAATAAAATAACTCAGTTAAACTAAAGTCAAAAACTGGGCGATTGGCACATACAATTCAACTAATGCTCGTTCTTATCTACAAACTCCCGGCTGGTTTATTCGAATCTATACGCGGAAATCAAAGTAAAAATGAGTTTTTCGATTTTTTTAATAGCGAATATGTTTTTATTGCGATGGAATTTTAATCTGATTTCAAAACTAATAATCTATGTTTTGTATAAATAAAACGAACAAAAGAAAACATAAACGTCACTTCACTCAAAATTACTCATTTATGACATATTCACCAAATATTTGAGTTTTAACAAAATCTCCATTTCTGTCCAAAATTATGTCAGAATTTGTTAGAATGAGTGAACGTAAGTTTTTTAGGTTCAATATATATCACAATTATATTACAATCGCTGGCGAGAGGCCACACACACACGTCAAATATCAATGTCCTATTATCGATCCCAATTGGCGAAGAATTATTTTTGGAGGAAGGATTATACGTTTGGAGGAAGTCTATAAGTTGTTGAAAAAAATTCGTGATGTCATTACTGCATCATGCCTTTTGATGCCCGATTCTAATAATATTTACATTTTTATTTTTACTTTACTGCAAGGAAACCAATACTAAAACACGCACTATTAACGATTATCATACTAGATAATATCCCTTTTGATGTAAGCTAAAACACTTAATACAACAACTAAACTTTATAAAAGTAAACAAACAAACACATTTATTCTAGAGCAACTGCTCATGACTGGTGTCTTTTTATCTAATGCAACATGTCTCTCAAAACTGCATATGGTGGAGAGATGCATTCACGCAGCATCGTTCCAGATTTCAATACGTACAAAGTGGCTGTAAAACTATAAAATTCCATGTTGGATATTATTCGATAGGGCGCGCGAGGCCCGTAATAAAATAGTGTTTCGAAGACACAGTTTTTATAACGACCATGCGTAACCAACAGCATAGTATTTTTATTAGATAATACAACTGACTTGGAGCACTAAGTTAGCGAATAACAATTTATGGTTATGCTGGTTTGCAATGAACGTAACGGTAAATCACGTCAACGCAAATGCGTTCTAAGAAATTGGATAGAGGGATCGCTTAACATTAGCTAAATAGATTAAATGTGAATCTGCGATAAAATAAAATCATCCGGTAATAAAGATGAAAATCGAACTATGTAAATTAAACGTTAATGACGCATTATTGTCATCTATGATTTTGAATTGTTTGGATTAGAATGTGTTTGAATAAATTAAGATTAATACAACAAACTCTAGAATCAAGAATCTCTAGAATCTAGAATAGTTATATAATTACTATATAAGTTTTATAGATTAAAAGAATATGGTATGATATTTAATAAACGTTAAATGCATTTAAAATTTCTTGCAATCTACAAACTATAAATTCCTTTATTTTGAATTTGTCATAAAAGTAATATTTTTCAACCTTAATTGAAAATTGGGGAAAAAAATTAAAAATTATCGAAAAAATCTTAGGTACAGTAAACCACAATTGCTAAAACTAAATTCCGATTAAAAACCCCTAGCTAGACCATAGGTGATAGCTAGACCAAGGTGATATTTTAACAATTGAAATGAAAAATGTTTCAGTTATAGTAAATTTACGACAACAAAAAAGATATTGAATCAACTTTTCGTTTTCATACTGATCAATCAATCTTCATTGAAACAAAATTAGTAACGTAGTCATGGAATTATTTTACATTGCTACTGTTAGAGGTGACGTACTTCTAAACTATGCAATTCTGCCGCTGACTGCTCCTTTACAATATACCTCAATTGAGCCTATAGATCTTAGTTAGGCCGAGCTATATCTGAAAATGTCGAAATGTCTACTTCTGCTACTTTACGAATTTCACGAAAAAAGCCTAATTATCATGTACGACAACTGAACTTCTTTTCGAACGTTGAAGGTATGTATTATAATTAAATTTCTCTCTGATTTAAAGTAGACATATAACATGGAATTAAGTTGGTTATGCGAAATGTTACAAAAAGCAAGTCAACAACAAGTACATTTAGATGCTTTGAATCTAATACGTATAAAGTTATAAATAGGCTTTTCCTGGGTACGAGTTAGAGCCATTAAGCTAAACGTTTGATTAATCTACCACTATTTTTGTAAAAACTGCTAAATTTATCTAAAGCAGAGTTGATTCGTTGTTGCACATGTTCAACGCTATTTAACTAGAGAATTTTTTTTTTAACTTTCAAGATTAAAAAAGTGTTTTAAATCAGTGCTACCCAACTGAACCTACGGGTTGCGACTCAAAAATGACCCAGAACTTGGAAAAAAAAATTATGACAAAAGTTATTGATTTTATTTTCTAGAAATTTCATTGTTTATCTTCATTTGATATTAGAGTGTTGCTCAATAGTAATTGTAAGTTATATGCTATTTTGCTTAGCGCAAAGCCACGCCACAATATCAAAAAATCGTTGATGAAAAACAAGCGTGATCTCACTTTGAAGCGTTTTTTCGGAGATTAAACAGTATGTAAAAATCATTCTTTTGTATAATATGGTAGGGCTTGGGTCGCTAGTTTTTACAAACTTAAATTTTTGAAAAATTTGGGTTGCTTGAAAAAAAAGTTAAGAAACACTGTTTTAGCTAGACTGTTTTGAGTTGGGTCCGGATCCATTACTGCAAACATAAGCCAAATCACAATCTGACTATTTTTTTAATATGACTATATCTGCTAAATTTTGGAGCTGCGCGACCAAACAAAAGGAAAATTTTAAAATATAGAAATTGGTTTTTTATCCAACTCCTATTTTGTTTTTGATTGATTTCTGATGTAGCTATACTTCGTGGCATGTAACTCATATCTATCGCCATGCAAATACACAATGAAAAGGTTCAAATGTAAAACTAAAGTGATGCATTTCAATTTCCGCACCATGGAAAGTATACACTATGTGCGAAATAGTAAAAATAGTCAAAGTTATTTATAATTTGAATGACTAATATTACATAGAAAAATTCTATGTTCTAGATTCTGTGTCTAATTCGTAATGAAATCGACGAGGAAACTCCAACATTTACGATAAACAATATGGTGCAAATTATGAAAATCTTTAATGGGCTTTTATGCTCATTGCTTTGTTCATTCATTGTTTTATGCTCAAATCTTCAATTTAAAATGAAAACACAGGAAGCAATTTCATAAACTCGAAATAGAGGAATCTTTGTTGGAGTTTACTACATAATTGCATGTTACAACTAGTTAGCAAATAACAGCCTTCTATTGTGCTGAATAGCAAGTAATTTCCGGCGACTTCCACCTGCAAATTTTATTGCACATGCGGGAATGTTAAACTGGTTATTGTGGCAAAAAGACAAAGTCTCAATTCATTTTTCTTGCAGCAATTTAAAAAATATATTTTTGGAAGTAGTTTGTTTCATGACTCTTCAAATATAAAACCGACAGATATATGTCAGAGACATCTGCATCGCTTTGTAATGAAGTACTTGAAAGCACTTTTACACGAGTGTTGAGATAATAAAACCCAGTGACGTAGTAGAAATAGATATATGGCCAAATGGTAGATGCGTCTCAAACTAATGTAAACTTAATAAACAAACTGCGGTACTTCTAGTTACGTGTGCAAAATAGTGCGAATTTGCAGTCTTGGGATCTTCTTAAAATATTCACTTCTTTTTAATCTGCTTCTTGGTTACAATGTGTAATAGTTCATTGTATTTATTATCAAAGCAAAATGCATATAAAAATGCATTCAAGTTCATACTTCACTTACTGCGGAGAAAGGAGCAGAATATGGTAGTAAGCAGCATAAGCTGAACAATGCGTTTTTGAAACTTCCAATGGTTAGATGTAAAAATAAAATGAAATAATGTTCAATTTGAGCACGAGAGCCTTACATTGGCCATCGTTCAATTTTATCATATTCGCCATCTTCTTCGAAAGATGCTGGTGAATTCAAAACTGACTCATTGGTTGGACAAGGGTTTCGTTAATTTATAATTCATGCCTGGTGAGAACAGCGTCTTCCTACAAACTTTTCCCAACTTTCTCTTGAATCTCACGAATAAGCTGATTAAACTGCGATGCATAATTTCATAAAAATTGTCCTAATTCGTTTACAATTACAAGTCACTTCAACCAAATTTCTGTAATTGCTTTATTCCATTCAAAAGCTTATGGCAACAAAACAAATAATCCTCTCATATTTCCTTGTGTAATTACACATTAGAAAGGAAACCGGGCGACCCTAACAAATTTTCGTCTGATAATGGTCACGAATTCACCAAATTCGTATGAAGTATGAATCAAACGGGAAAGGTAAAGACTTGAGAACTTGATTAATTGATACATTTGCCAACCAAAGCATTAATTTTCTAGCGTTCTCGCGAGCAACGCGTACAATTAAAGCATTTTTGAAACCCATTATTCGTGGCTAAGAACAATAGACTAAGTCTGCTTGGTTTACTCAGAATTCGATTACCATTCGACAATCGTAAATGAAATATGACTAGAAAAAATGCAATTTAGGAGTAATGCAAAATTAATATAAGTAAATGTAGGGTTAGGATTCATAATTAGATGGTTTTTTATCACGAACTGATCAAAATAGCGTTTTTTACTATTATAATAAAATTCGATTTAAAAGAAATATTCTTATTACTGCCGCAGGAATTTTTAATTTGAACATATTTTAATTTATAGGAATAACTTTCCGTAATATCAAAACTTTGTTTCATTTTACATATCAAAACAGACAGTAAAAACGTAATTCTTTGGCAATGTGCAAACCATGTTAAAAATGCATGTAAGTAGTCAAAAATTTATTTGCTGATAAAACTAATAAGTGAACTCAATCGTATATATATAATATCCATAAATCCGGAAGGTATCACAATGTTGATATATAGGCGGTAGTTTATTTACCAATGAATCCATCATACCCTTGTAATAATGACAAAGTCGTGCAACAGGGAATTATAGCGTAAAAATATATTCATGTATATAACATTTCCCTCTTACCTTTACAAAAATGATTTTTTGTTGTTTCAATTTCAATACCTTTTTCGATCACGAACGTCTCAAGGTTGAGAAACTAGACGATGCTTCTCCACCATCAAGATGACGAACAGCTGAACGCCGACAATCGTTAAATATTTCCGATTTTGAGAAGAGTTAATTCGGTGTAAGACTCAGCAACAACCTCAATTCGAGTTTTATTAAAATTCGAAGTTCATATTGTGACAAAACACGGTCGGCAATCTTTTTCCAGTTGTTTATCGTTTCGGAATCCAGAATTGTTTGGCAGCTTTTTCAGAATATACTTTAGCAGGCTTTTGTGTTATATTCAGAATTGCCCAGTTTATTTGTTTGTTATTTATATTCCAAATATTTAAGATTTTGAAATGGTCCAAACGACCTTTCCGACTAAGCTGGAAATAAGTAATACTGTTTGGTTAGGTTTCTATTAACTGAGTTGTTCAATATCTCAAGCCCATGAGTCCAAAAACAAATAAATGGCAAACTAATCCCATACCCGACATAGTCTAGTAACCGGACGGAAGACTGAGGTTTGACATATGATTGAGCCGTCTTTTCTGTATTTCCCTCGCTTGGGATAAATATGTAAAGCCTATCCAATCTTCGCCATATGAACAGGCAATAGACAAGTAAAAGGTAATATTTTTTATTGTATATTTATATAAAATATTGATTCCTATAGTGATAGCTTGTTTTATTTTTATTTTAACTCCCTTTTCACTTCTTGAAATCTTTCATCTTCGTACTTTTCAAAGCTTTCTGAAAAGCAAATAGTTTCAATAAATTAGTGGTGCATCATTAATTTACTGTATTAGGTAATTTATTACCACATGTTTTACAATCCCTACAATATTTGATAAAAATTCACTTTGTCCTTGCTGCACTTTTGGACTTATAGATATTGCTTTAACTGTGAAAACAAGCACTTGCATTTTTTCACAGTATTTAACTTGATAAATATTACATACAGCATACCAAACTTATTTTCTCATGCATATTAAAACGTAATTGGAACATTAAAATTATTTCACGATTTCAAAACAATACTTTCGGTAATTACCCTTTGGTTTATCAACATTCGAAATCCTACTTTAAAAAGTCGGAATGTCTGCTTGGAAATTTGATAATTACCGGCTTGAGAACCAAATAATTACAGATAGTTCCGAACATCAATTTAATTTCACAGTTTTATGTCTTATTTGCAAAAGAAAAGATTACATTACTAGTTTATGAAATATGTTAATTGAAATATCTATGTAATCATATTAATATAAAACCGATAAGATTCAATACTCTTCATAGGAAAAACAGCATAGGAAAAAGTTAATAAACTTCAATAGGAAACGGGCAAACGCCATGTTAAAATTGTAGTTTTAGTAATTTTTACCTCAATCTTCAAATATATAAATTATTAAGGATTTGAGTTTTCAGTTCATTTTATCTGTTCGCTCAGGATTGAAATTCATTTTTTTTTATCCTTGGATGAAACTAATTCCACCACGAATCGTAATTTAAGCGAAACATATTGTGTTGTAATACTTTCACCAGTAATAATTCATTAATACCTGCAACTAAAAAACTGAAAATTTGGCTCAATCATTCATTGACGTAAACTAACAAGAAACACGGAAGACTTTCACCCATAATAATTGAGGTATTTATATATTATAAATCCTTAATTAATATAAATCTTGATTTGTCTCATCAATTTATACACCACCAAAACTCTGTAGATAATATTTTAATATTGATTACTATTTCCACTATATAATTATACGAAACTATTCTACATTTGCGCAAGCTACCTAAGAGTGAAGGTTTTTAAATGACTCAAATGACAACCTTAAATTAACTTATTGACAAACATATTTTGATATAAAGATCAGAAATTAAATAAAACCAGTAGCTAAATATTTCTCATCATATAATGTAAAAAATAATCTTATTATACTATCAAACTGTAACCTGATGACTTGCAGTATGTAATGTATCATATCAGTTGAAATACTAACTAAACGAAACAAAACCACAACTAACAAACAATTAGTACTGTTTAGCGGCGACAAGTTGATGAATTAGTAACATTAGAACACCTGAAAAACTGCACTGATCTTGGGAATAACCATTTGTTTATGTTTATACTTTGTAAAGGACAAACTCTATGGTCACTGGGTAGCAAAGTAGTATATATATATATATATATAATAAAATGAAAAACTGAGACTGTTTCCTTCGTTTATACTAAAATGCGATTCGGAACCATTGATCCAATCGATTAGATTTTCAATTTGCAACTTTAGAGTATCATTTCCGATTTCGATCCATCATAGGTGTTAAAAAGACAAGTCATAAATTATATTCATATTTTTTTGTCATAATTGTCAAAACTATTTGACATAATAATGCTGCACGTGAACTTAACACTTCCCTCAATGAGGTTATGTCAAGGGTTTTGACTTCTGATCTCAAAGCTATCAACTTTATGTTGTGTAATTTCACACATTCAGGTTGCAGCAAACTATGTTTGTTCAATACAGAGAAAGTTTCCGATTGCGATTCTTTACAATAGACAGAACGAATCAATTTGTTAAACTCGCGAGTACAACAAAATGATCTGGTACATAAAATTAAGGATTTAAGTAAGGATTGCTCAGGTGTTTAATATCGACGTCATGAAACTCACAATATTTGAACTATAAAACAAAGAGGAAACTAAATTTAAAAAGTTTAAGTATTGATTATAGTGAAATTAAACTCGATATATTGCCAGTCACTCAATCTGGCATTTTGTTTGATTAAAATCTCCCCTGCCTGCTCGTCAAAAAATTAACTAATCTAATATTTCATATCATACAAATTATTTGTATAGTAAAAAAAACCTTACACAAAACCTGGTATATCTGTTCTCCTGCACCCAAGAAACATCCGACAATTTGACAATGCCGATTGTTTAATAATAGGGAAGATATCTTTCAATTTAACATCAATCACAAAAAAAACACTATCTTTGTGCACTGTGTAGATCACCAATGCAAGACCATCTAAAACAACGATCCTGTTGTAGCATGTTTGCATGGGATTATCTTACAAAATACGCATATAATGATCGGTTACAGAAAAATTAAAATAATAACGCTTTCACAACATTACGCTTGGTCAATTCAAGATAACTACTACCCCCACACAGAATCTCCCGGATGAGACAAGTTTGTGAAATATAATATGTAGCGTCGTGTTCAATAAAATATGATCATATTCTCTATTTTACTGCAAGTTCAATAGCATATTAATTTTAGCTTATCCAATTTGAATAATTAATGAATGTATTGTATAATGATACAGAACCTGCATAATATATAAAATTTAAATTTCCATTCATATCATCTCGTTAAGTAACGGTCTAATTTATGTTAAATAAACGAAGCCCAATATTATGATTCCGAAATATTATTTTTTTGTTAACATTGATGTGCAATAAGGGCTAGATAACTGATTTTTGGAAATCAAATTGAATTCTTGGAGTATGGTGTATAAATTATTTTTTTAAGTTCGTTTTTTTATTACGGTTAGTTTTAGAGTAGTTCATTTTCAGCAGATTGATGTTATTAATTGGGAACAAAGCGTAGCACAATTTTAGTTGTATACTCAATAAGCACGACAACAATATTTAGACCAATAAATATAAAAGAATACTTCCGTTTGTATATTGAAGTAAATGACCGTATCCGTTACCTCACTTGTTCAGGATTTATTGTTTTCAAATAACCAGATGATAACACAACAAATTAAATTATGTCAAAGAAGAAAGAGGATAATTAGCGCTCATTCGGAATAAATTGTTATCATTGTTCAAGCTTAATCGGGGTAGTTAGCAATTAGATCGTAGCAGGAAATATACGTCATTAAGTTGTCGTAAGAGCGTCTCGTCTCCCAGTCCCTTGATGAAATTGTCCGTTATAATTTAACACAAAAGAGAAAGTAATCGGCTATTTGACGTGTGTAACGTGTATATTGCCAAAATAATTTTATCAAAAACCTGTTTCGCAAGACGAGTTATCCTGATATAAATCAGGAAATCGACGTGGTACAGGATGAAATGGATATAAAAAAATAAATAAATTTTCATATGGTCATCGCAGACGTAACCAATGTCAACGCAATGAGTTTAACTGTCATATATTTTAACACAGAATATAAATGTTCATTTATTGTTAATACCATCCAACACTTTGCACAACTTCATCTTGACCAAGCTGATTCAGCAAATGCTAACCATAAGCCATCTTACCTACTCAGTTAGCTAAGTATAACGAAATTTTTGATATGCAAAGCATGAAATCGTAACTATATAGCATTTCCGTTCATAATGCAGAAACTGCATATATTTTAACATTATTGTTTGATTTATTATAAAAATGCGATAGTATTTATTGTATTTCTGCACAGTGTAATTTTATATATAAATGTGTTCATTAAAACTCCAATCAGAATTCCCACACAATTAGTCAATGTGGTCGTTCTTGGCAATTAACCTTGGAATAGAAAACCACATGAAGTTACTAAGAATATTTAAATACATCAAAGAGTAAAATAATGGAGCAGAATTTCAAGATAAACCTGATTGAAGCAATTCCATCTATGACATCATATCAGTTCGCTACAAAATATGTTCCAAAGTCAGAATCAATCTATTTATATTAGCTAACAACTACACTATTATATCTCATTCATTGGAAATTTTCCGTCCTATCCTACTAACATTTGACAAGTTTTCGTGCGTCAGATACATTTTATAGAAACTCCAGCAAGGCAATAGCAGGTATTTATGACTAGACTCCGTCAACCATATGAATCCTATATAACCATTGATGATTTCATGTCCAAATATCAAGCATAGAAGGGCCATACAGAGTAATGAATATTCAATGCATTTTCGTGCAAAACCATCACAAAGCAAGTTCACCATGAATAATTCAGAAAAGCAGTTAAGAAATTCAACACAAAAAGCTAATTCATTAGAAAAAGAGCATAAGCGTCGGCAAAAAATATCACCTTGTGGATTTATCTCGTCTAAAGAAGGTTAAAAACATTTTCGCTTTTCTTATAAGAGTTTATTTATTTTACGTGCATAATAAACGACAGGCGTAGAAATGCTACCCGGGTGCATGACGACCCTCCAAGTTGGATCATTAAATATTAAAATGCTCTTCTTATTGGTTCTTCTAATTTAAAAAATAATATTTTCTTTTGGTCAAGATTGGTTTATTCCAATTAAAGCTGAACGGAACAGTGATTATAATTTCATGAAATCGAACACTACGAATTATTCAAAAAATCAATCCCACAAAAATTGGTTGTTTTTTGAAGATCAGTGTGTTATATGATCAACATTACCGCGTGCAAGTTGGCCCATTAAGATTTCGAGTAATACGATGAATGATATCTAGTTACCATTTCACACACGATT